CAAAGCCCCGCCTTCCAGCCGCCAATCCCGTTGAATCGAAAGGTAGAGGTCATTTCGTTACCATCACGGTTTTGCCTAGAGTTTCTGTACTTGATTCAGCAGCTTGCTTTACTCCATCTACTGTCGCATTAGCACTGGTCTCATTCTTGGATGGTGGTCCGAAAACATCTATGCAAGCCAAGCGACATGCCAGCTTCGAGAGGTCTGTTCAATACTCACTGTTTATGCGTCTTTACTTTAAAGCTTCGGAGATTGTGTGCAAAGATATTGCGCTCTTTATAAACTGAAAAATTAGATTCATGAATCATCATAAATAAGGAGGTGGTAAAAACTTTTCCTTTGTATTGGTCTTTTTAAGCGATACTTCCTTAAATATCTGCAAAATCCTGCTGCAAAAGGTGAATTCCGAAGTGAGAAACTCGCCTCAAAAGGTATTTGTGCCAGAGGCAGCTCCGCCCCTCAGAGAGGTTGGATCGCGAGCAAATGCGAAAGTGGACTGAAAGTCCTTGAAATTGTCGAAGTACTTCATGGAGGAAGCGTGGGGTCTCTGGATAGTCATTGTTAGGAACCTAGTTTAGGCGAAAAATTTTAGACCAGGAACGTTGATGGGTGGGGCTGCCTTTGCCTCATCTACCTTCCTAGCGATTTTCTTGCCTTGGGATTTAGTTACTCGGAGCGGGATTCGGGAAATAACTCAAATAGTGGCAGCGCTATCGTAACGCAGAAAAATGTCACTATTCTGAACCCTTTGAAAATTTGTCAAATCGCCTTACCCCGGCTTTAACATGCGTTTTTTTTTTGAGCACTCGTCGCTGTTTACCGCTCCATTCCAGAAGATTCGCGAGGAATTCTGTGTCTGATACCATATTTTTCATTGCAGAGCTGGACCAGGAGTGTCAGAATTGGATGTTGCAGAAGATCCGCCTTGGAATGGCAAAGTTTTTGCATCGGTCGTCAACGAAATGGTATGATAACTTTTACATGTTTAATCGCGATCTCGAATTCGATTCTTACTCAATTTAGAATCCGAATCTTGATTGGTACGAGGTATTTGATCGACTGGACGATGTACAAATGCTAGTCATACGCAGACAATCTCTCATTACTCTCATTGATGCATTGAAAACAGGACTCAGGGATAAACCTTTTCCAATAGCAAAGCTTTATACGAAGTGGCGATGCAGGTGCGATACTAGAATTTCACTTCTCCTTTTCTAGGAAATGATCAGTTCTCCTTTAGGGAAGCACAGTTGTCATTGATATCGTCAATGTTGGAAAATCCAGATGTATTTTGTATAGCTGATTATCCTCATAGATCTGTGCCAACGGGAACACTAAAAAGCACACCCGATGAAAGTGACCGACTATTGGCATCTTGGTAAATTTAGCTCTCAAAAATAAAATGGGGGATTCATTGCCACCCTATTCAGGTGTTGCGTCGAACTGACAGAGCTACTATTAACGATGGCTGGCGAACAAAATGTACAGACGGCTGCCATCCGACTTCTGCATGGTGCACTTGAGAAGTGGCCCGATGTCGTATTGCTGGCATTGTTCCAAATACCGGTTGGTGAATGACGAATATTCCAGTTTTCATATGAGCATTACCCGTCTTAGCCACCCGTCACGGAGCTTCGTCAAAAATTCATCGAAATGATACTGCCAATGTTTATACATCACCATACAAATGCTGTATCCGTGCTGAATGCAATATGGAACAGTGAGGTGAGAATTATGGCTGCGACACTACTTTTGGGTACAACATTGCTCTTTGCAGTTTTGTTTTGTAAATTTTTCATCATTACTGCATTTGTAAGGAGTGGTTAAAAGCATCTTCCACACAATTTGAAGGAAGAGCTTTT